AGAAAGTATCTGATGACAGCTTTCTTCTTGTTGAAGTCTGGAGGGTGATCAGAAAAGAGGACCCAATAAAGCACATGTCGAGGTCTTGCCCTGTGTGCTGCTACACAGATTATCAGTTCTGCAAACTCTTGCAAGGGAGGGGGGATCAATCTGTCTGAGTTGGGTGCTCCTTCCTCAACAGGAAATTAGTTTTGATCATTTTATTATAGTGGTCCTAAACTAAAGATGATCTGCCAAGCTAGAACTTTTACAAGTGTCCCATAATGTTCATTCTGCACTTACAAGGAAACCAACTTTTAGTGTAGGAGCACCTCTGGAACTCCCTGCCCAATGACACCAAGTGGGTGACTTCACCGCACTGCTTTTGACAGCAGACAAAACCTTTTTCGTTTAAGCAAATCTACCCAGAAATGCAAGGTAGACATGTATTCTAATGTGCGTGTGTGATGTTTTGAATTTTGTGTAGGTTAACTTGCTTTTGATGCTAATGTTTATTGATAATTTCAGTGTCTATTTTATTTTATTTTAACTTGTGGTTCAGAACATGTTAAAAATCTTATAAGATAATATGCTGGAATTTGAATACTATCAGGCCAATTCTAATTAATGGGATGCGGGTGGCGCTGTGGTCTAAACCACTGAGCCTCTTGGGCTTGCTGATCAGAAGGTTGATGGTTTGAATCACCGTGGCGGGGTGAGCTCCCGTTGCTCTGTCCCAGCTCCTGCCAACCTAGCAGTTCGAAAGCACACCAGTGCAAGTAGATAAACAGATATCACCACAGTGGGAAGGTAAATGGAGTTTCTGTGTGCTCTGGTTTCTGTCATGGTGTCCACATGACCCAGAAAGCTGTCTGTGGACAAGCACCAGCTCCACCGGCCTGAAAGTGAGATGGGCGCCGCAATCCCATAGTTGCCTTTGACTGGACTTAACCGTCCAGGGGTCCTTTACCTTTTACCTTTTTTTGAATTGTGATGCTCACAAATGTGCCTGCAAATATGTACTACTTTGTCTATTCTTTTGGCGCACACAAAATATAGCAGAGACCCATTCCAGAGTGGAATGTTGGAACTACTTCAAAAGAAAATAATTATGCACACAGCACATAGCTAAATTATGGACTTCACTTCCACAAATGGCCATCACTTTGGATGGCTTTAGAAGAGGATGAGACAAATTCATGAAGGGTAAGCCTATCTATGGTTCCTAGCCATGATTGCTATGTTCTGCTTCTACTGTCAAAAGCAAGATACCTCTGAACACAAGTTGCTGGCAATCACAAGTGGAGGAAGCCCAGTTGTACCCAAGTCCTGCGTGCTGGATTCTCATCGGAATCTGGTTGGCTGCTTGTGAGAACAGGATGTTGGACTTTGGCTTGGTCGAGCAGGGCTCTTCTTTCATTCTTGTACGATGCTCATTCATCATCATTTTCTTTCCTGAATGGTTTGTGGGGAGTAGCTAATGCATGGAAGATAGCGAGATGATCAATGGACAAAAGTGTGGCTTACGATGTAGTCCTTTACTAGTGAATCTTCGCTATAGCTGACTCACGGCTTGTATAGCTAACCACCTTCTTGCTGAAAGGCATCTCAAATGCCCGAGACATCATAAAACTGATAATTGGATTTTGAAATGACTTAGTGCAGAAATGTTTGCTCAAATATTACCGTAAGTCATGCATTAAACATGAAAACACGGTCAGGAGTACTTTGCTGCTTTCATCTTAGTGAAAGGTAGCTGCTTTTTCAGCTCTTTCGGCAGATGTACCCTTTGAAATGTTGGGGGGGAAGTGTCCAGGCACATTATGATCTGTACACTCTCTAAGCTACAGGTTGTTCCTCATTGTGTTATGAAAATAAGTATAGTACATATTGTTCCGAATAAACATGGGAGACTTCAGTCCTAAACTTTAAAGACACGAAGAGAAAACCACTGTTTTATGAATAGGCCATCAATATAATGCTGTTATATGTTGCTAGTTGGCTAGAACAATTATAATACTACTTTACTGAGCTAATGAACTCCCAGGAAAGCCTTATGGGCTTTCCATACATAGGTAAAATATGTACAGTATGTTGCCCGATACCATATCCCGATGCTAAAGGAATAAGTGCTGTCTTGAGTTATGTTGAGCAATAATGTTTTATTTTTACATCCCCTGGCAAAGTCAGCCTTGTGAACTTGCCTCGTGAACTTTCCTCACTTTAGAACAGACTGTTCTTTAAAAATATATTTATCATGCCTCATTTTCCCAGAGACAAAAGTTGGATGGGGGGAGGGGGTACTTTCCCAACAGTATTCACTGTGTGAGGAAACTTTGCAATGGATCTGCCCTAATAATAGGAAGCAGTAGGAGTCAGAGAAAATGGAATAGTTGTATTTATTGGGAAACAATACAGCAGCTAAAGCTTGTTACACAAGTTAAGACTATGGTTCCAACTAGGTCTGACCAAACTATGGAGGGAGCCACACCCAGAGAGGGGAGGGGTGTTTCTAGTACAGACCAGGCATCTCTCTTAACAGACAAGTCATGCACACAACAAAGGGGACCCGCCCACTTCAAAACATTATACAATTATTATTTTTGGTGTTGGCATTGAATTGCATCAGGAAAGGTCAGCCCAGAAAACGATAGGTGATTTTTAGCAAATGTGTAACAAAGGCACTATTTAGGGAGACCTACATGGGATTATTCTTCAGGGCCATTCGGGGCCAGCCCAAGACACTTTGGCACCTGAGACAAACCACAAAATGAGCACATACACACGAGGGGAGAAGGGGTGAGTGAAAAGCTACATCAGGAACAAGCAGGGGGGAATAAAGATCTGCATCGGAAACAAGACCATCAGCGCCTTCTGTTCTCCAAGAGGCCAAGGAGCAGACCGCCATTGTCACTGCCACCTTAGCAGCAGTGGGTGGTGCATTCATTGGAGACTTGATTTGCTGCCCCTGTGGATCTTGCTGCCTGAGGCGCTCGCCAAACCTTGCCTCATGGGTGGGCCGGCCCTGAGGCGACCTCTGTATCTTGATCATTCATTTCTTCTAAACACTGGCTGGTTTTTACAAAGAAATTTATACTCATAAGTACTAGATCTGTATGCTGAAGACACACATTCCTTGACTTTAAAAAAAAAAAATTAAAATAGTAACCTCATCTGAAACTGCTCTAGTTTTTATAAGTTATTTATACTTCATCACAACAAATGTTTGCAAAAAAACCAACAACACCTATTTTTTGACAAATTGATCTTGAAGAGGTCCAAGAGTGAGTGCTTGAACTTTGCTGAGCATGTTGTTTGTCCCTTCACTGAAATACAGTGGTACCTCGGGTTAAGAACCTAATTCGTTCTCGAGGTCCGTTCTTAACCTGAAACTGTTCTTAACCTGAAGCACCACTTTAGCTAATGGGGCCTCCCGCTGCCGCCGCGCCACCAGAGCACAATTTCTGTTCTCATCCTGAAGCAAAGTTCTTAACCTGAAGCACTATTTCTGGGTTAGAGGAGTCTGTCACCTGAAGTCTGTAACCCAATGTACCACTGTACATTGAAGACCTCACTGAAATACCGTATTTTTCGCTCTATAACACGCACCAGACCATAACACGCACGTAGTTTTTAGAGGAGGAAAACAAGAAAAAAAATATTCTAAACGAAATAGTGGATATATGATTTTTGTGGTTCATGCTGTGGCCGCAGACATGTGATCTGACAGTGAGTTTGGAGTAGCCCAATGCAAAAATCCTGAGGATCCATGTGGATCCATGCTTTGTAACCACGGAGGAGGGAAGGAAGGGGAACCATGGATCCTCTGCTCACGACTGCAGCAGATCCCCTCCGCCACCCGCAGGCATTCGCTCCATAACACACACAGACATTTCCCCTTACTTTCTAGGAGAAAAAAAGTGAGTGTTATGGTGCAAAAAATACGGTAGTCCCCTTAAGCCGGGTTGCCATGGGGCAAGTCTGAGCAACATGCGGATGACCACACCAGCTTCAGCTCATGAACTGTGTTCTGTAGCTTGTTAGTAGCTCATTTCCCCTCCTTTCTTTTTACTGGTTAACAAAACAACAACAACAAAAGGGAGGGGGCATCAAAGACATGGAAAGACACAAAAAGTGGCAGTGGACTACAGTTTGGCTCGGTCAATCCACATCATCAGCCATTAGTTGGCTTGTTTCTGAAGGTTTCCCTAACTTTCTTTAGAAATTGCTCAAGGGGGAATGATTTCTAGAAACACGAGTCTGTTACTGTAATCGGACGTTACACATCTGAAGAGTCAGCAGCATTCGATTTTTTTTCCCAATAGGAGAGCTGCTGGAATATTTTAAGAAGCAGATTCTGAATCTGAGTTAACATTCCAGCGACGCCTTTCTTATAGTTTCCAAATGGTCTTTGTTTGCTTGCCAAGTTTGTGCTGCTCTGCAGCCTTGGGGAGGGGGGGGGGGGAGAAAGAGAGCAGACATAACTGGAATCCTTTCGAGGGGCAGAACTAATGGATGTATTTGAGAGCAGAGAAATATTCCAGACAATGCAGAGGGGAAAATAAAGGTAGTCCGAAAATAAAACATTTCAAAACGTTTTGGCAGGAAAAAAAGAACAGGGGATGGGAAAGGGGGTGGTGTGTTGTAATTGCATGTTCTGGTGTTTTCCAGAATACATATTGTTTTCTGGCAAGCCACAATGAGTTTGACAGGGTACAATGAGAAATTTGGAACAAGTTTGAGTAAGAGGAGGATACCAAAACAGAACAGCAATTGGATTGTTCTAATTGCTCTTGTAGATACATGGCAAATTTTACTGCAGCCTATCCTAGACTGCTGTCCTCCAAATTACAATAAGCCCTCAACTAACGCAGGGGTTATGATCCGGGTGGGTCACACCTCAAGCCAAAATCATGTATAGCATACCCTCCAACATTTCTCCAGTGAAAATAGGGACATCTTAGTCTACATCAGAAAGCGTTTGTACGGAGCCCCCGGTCGTCTCACAGACTATTGACCTGTACACCACTAATCCGCTGCCACCAACCAGGTCCTCCCCGGTAAATCACTTAGTCTCAGTCAGGTTCTCAAATTAACAAAGAAGAGTGTAGTTTATTTCAGACACAAACAAACTTTAACTGCATTCCAAACGTTGTTACTCTTTACCTTCTTAGTCTTGTTTTATCCTGTCTCTATCTCTTCTACCTCCCCTCACACGAGAACCCACTGCACTAACTGCCTCTCTATTTCCAACTGCCTGCCAACTGCTTTTCCAGCTGCCTTTCCCAACCAACCAACCCACTAAAACCAACCAACTACCAACAACTAACTCAAACCTCGGGCTAAGCCCTTTTATATACAGGTAGGCTCCGCCTCCGGCTTTCCTATTGGTTTAGATATTAACCCTTTCTCTCCACCTGTACAGACATTTTTCTTTTTCTTTTTCTTTTTTATAATTTTTATTAAGGTTTTAAACAAAGAAAAAAGAAAAACAACACACACACACACACACACACAAAAACAATACAAAATTTAACAATAAAAACACAAAACATAACAATTAAAAACAAACTCTCTTTTCCATTCCCAATTTTAAATTACTTATTTTCTGGACTTCCTCATACCTCCCTCTTTTGTATTCCAATCTGCATTATTTGTCCAGCAGTTTCTTTTCCACTTTTTTAAACCCAATCTTTAATTTAATAAAATTTTAAAATATATAACTTCAACTTTTTTTTTAAACATAGTCCTTGTTCTTAATGTCATATACCTTTAAATTTTTCCCTTTTATTATCAAATTTCCATTTCTTTAAACATCTTTAATCTTGATCTTTAATCTTAATCTATCCTTAACTTTAACCTGTATAGCTGGAAACCACTTATTTTCAATCCAACATCACTCTAACATTCCTTAATTTTGCAGTGTTTCTGAAGATAGTCTTTGAATTTCTTCCAGTCTTCCTCCATCGACTCTTCTCCCTGATCACGGATTCTGCCAGTCATTTCCGCCAATTCCATATAGTCCATCAGACATTTTTCAAACGAATGGGCAAAAGCCACAAGCATACCCTCCAACATTTCTCCAGTGAAAATAGGGACATCTTAGTCTACATCAGGAAGCTTCTCCCACATTTGATTTCCCGCAGACATAAATGTCATATACAGATCAACATTGGTCACCTTGAGCCAATCTCTCTGCCTCACCTACCTCACAGGGTTGTTGTAAAGACTTCCTCCTGAGCAGACAGTGTAGGGCTCAATTTACAATAAAGAGAACAACATGAAAATGATGTACCGTTGGTATTTGACTCCGGTAAAATTAGCCAAAATGTATAAAAACACCTCCAACTTATGCTGGAGGTGTAAAGATAAAGATGGTACTCCTTACCACATGTGATGGACATGTAAAATAGTAAAAGACTTCTGGGAAATGATATACAATGAATTAAAAACAAATGTTTAAGATAACCTTTATCAAAATACCAGAAGCCTTTTTGTTGTTGTTTAGTTGTGTCCGACTCTTCGTGACCCCATGGACCAGAGCACGCCAGGCACTCCTGTCTTCCACTGCCTCCCGCAGTTTGGTCAAACTCATGCTGGTAGCTTCGAGAACACTTTCCAACCATCTCATCCTTTGTTGTCCCCTTCTCCTTGTGCTCTTCATCTTTCCCAACATCAGGGTCTTTTCCAGGAAGTCTTCTCTTCTCATGAAGTGGCCAAAGTATTGGAGCCTCAGCTTCAGGATCTGTCCTTCCAGTGAGCACTCAGGGCTGATTTCCTTAAGAATGGATAGGTTTGATCTTCTTGCAGTCCATGGGACTCTCAAGAGTCTCCTCCAGCACCATAATTCAAAAGCATCAATTCTTCGGCGATCAGCCTTCTTTATGGTCCAGCTCTTACTTCCATACACCAGGAGCCTTTTTACTAGGATTGATAGGAGATGAAATACCAAAAGAATTAAAAAGATTTTTTATGTATGTGACAAGAGCCGCAAGGATGTTACTTGTCCAGAAGTGGAAGGAAGAAAAAATCCAGACCAAAGAAGAGTGGATAGCCAAGATGATGGACTATGCCGAAATGGCAAAGATGACCAAGACAACAAGAAATTTGTGGGAAAAGTTCATAGAATAGCTTAAGGACCATTGTGTATACTTAAAAATATTAGCAGGGTTATTGTAACACGTATAATGTAATATTAGTTAAAAGGAGGGGGGTGATAAAATAAATTAGAAAAATGTAATTACATGCAAAGAAATAAGGGAAAATTTGGAAATCAGGGGGGAGTCCGTCCAAGGGATTCAAGTTATTCCAGAAGTGTAAAATATCAAAATGTTGTTAAGGTATCAAAATTCTGTTTTTAAAAAATTAAATTAAAATAAAATATTCAAAATAAAATAAAATAAAGGAATCAATACTCTTCATATTTCCTAAGATATGGCTGACTATTCCTCTTTTCCAAGCTAAACATACCCAGCTCCTTCAAGCGGTTTTTGTAAGGCTTAATTTCCAGACCCTTGATCATCTTGGTTGCCCTCCTCTGCACACGATCCAGCTTGTCAACATCCCTTCTTAAATTGTGGTGCCCAGAATTGGACACAGTATTCCAGGTGTGTTCTAACCAAGGCAGAATAGAGTGGTACTTCCCTTGATCTGGACACTATACTTCTAGTCTAGAATAGTGTTAAACTGCATCACACTGTTGACTCATGTTAAGCTTGTGGTCCACCAAGATTCCTAGATCCTTTTCGTGTATATTGCTAGTAAGCCAGGTGTCCCCCATCCTATAGTTGTGCATCTGGTTCTTCCTGCCTAAGTTCAGAACCTTACATTTGTCCCTGTTGAAATTCATTTTGAATTTTCTCATTAATGGTTTAAAAAAAAAATTCATCTGAGGTTGCCATGAAAACTGAAACCTAAAAAAAACCCCCACCTTACAATGGTATTATCAGCAGTCATTTTAATAAGATCCTTTGTGCATCTAGAGAACATTTTAAGAGCATTAGCAGAAGAGAAAGCCTGTCAAGGAACATCAGCAAACAAGAAGGGATACTAAACCCTATCTAATCCCTCATTAATGCATGTTGCTGGGTTATTGGTAATCTGAATCTTTATGCTTGACAGCTTTTAGGGAATCAAATACACCATAAGGATCAGAGGATGGGGAGACAAACTTTATGACAGCCAGGGCTTTTCACCTCAAGCTAGTTACTTCAAATTTGACCCCAATCACTCAGTAACATTTGGGATAATTCCCCACCTTCCTTTTAAAGGGACGCGGGTGGCACTGTGGGTTAAACCACAGAGCCTAGGACTTACTGATCAGAAGGTCGGTGGTTCAAATCCCTGCGACGGGGTGAGCTCCCGTTGCTCAGTCCCTGCTCCTGCCAACCTAGCAGTTCAAAGGCACGTCAAAGTGCAAGTAGATAAATAGGTACTGCTCTAGCGGGAAGGTAAACGGCGTTTCCGTGCGCTGCTCTGGTTTGCCAGAAGTGGCTTAGTCATGCTGGCTACATGACCCAGAAGCTGTACACTGGCTCCCTCGGCCAATAAAGCAAGATGAGCACCGCAACCCCAGAATCGGCCACGACTGGACCTAATGGTCAGGGGTCCCTTTACCTTTAATGATTGTTCTGCAATGTGTTTCTAGGGGACAGGAAGCCCCGTTGAGAACTGGCCGCAGTAACTACAGTTCATAGGATATGTCTGTAAGGCAGATTCCCACAATCTCATTCACCCACATGGGAAATTCACAGATGTACTCTGTAAATTCTGTGCAAAAACATATCACAGTACTGGAAATGTTTTACTGAGCCTGATTCTGATATTTGGAAACACTATCATGACCCTGAAATGGAACAGATACTGAGGTCCCCTGGAAAATTACATGTTCCAGGGCTTCCTGCTGATTTGTCCCAAAAGTTATGCTATTGTCCAAGCTGGAGGACAGGGGTGCCAACATGAATAAAAGATGGGGGGGCAGATAAGCCCCACCCCACACAATCGATCACATGATGCGGTGCACACACATTTGAATGGTAATGCCCATCAACTTGGGGGGAGGACCCATCTCCCTCAAATATTTTATTGTGGGGGCAGAAGCCCTGTGGACCCTAGGAGTTGGCTCCTATGCTTGAAAATAAATTGGGAGGTGGGAACATGGTGCTCAATTTGTATTGCAGACAAGCCTTACTAGCAGAACTTCTCATTCCAAGCTAGAGAAGATAACATTCTGAGTCATGCCAGCATTAACTTTAGCAAATCACTACAGTACTTGTAAATTCAGGAAATGCAACAGATATTCTTAGCCAAATTGTGGCAGTGAAATTCAGGTTCCAAGAATAAAATCAGTAATTAGTTAGGTGTGACCTTCAGCATGTGTAAAGGGAATATGTTGAGTGGGTTGGAAACAGGGGTGTGTGACAGGGTGAAGCCAGGGGTGGGTGGGTGTGAATGTTAAGTTGTTCTTAGCTAGTTTTTTTTTGTTTTTTTGTTTGCAGGAGCTATTCTGCCAGGATTTTACCATCCGCGTAAATCTTCATGGCCATACTGATGCCAAAGAGGGATGTATGCTGATCCCCCCATCTGAGAATGTTTCTTAGTTGTGTTTATAATAAAACAAGTGCTATAACAAAGCTAGCTGCAAGATATCCACGTTCTTTGCAAGGCTTCTCTTATGGTGCTGAGCATAAGAGCATAAAAATAAGCCTCCATTTTTCATCTCTCTTTTTGTCATCTCTAGGAAAGCGTTGCTTGAAAGGAACTTTGGAACATTTGGGGGAAAGATTTTCACAGCAAAGCTGTCATGTCCAGTGGGTGTGAGCTTACTTTAGAAAATAACCTTCTCTTCCATTCCTAGTGAAGAGGCACGTTTATGTCCATGGACGTTGGTTCCACGTATCTGTAAAGTAAAGGTAAAGGGACCCCTGACTATTAGGTCCAGTCGTGACCAACTCTGGGGTTATGGCGCTCATCTCGCTTTACTGGCCAAGGGAGCCGGCATACAGCTTCTGGGTCATGTGGCCAGCATGACTAAGCTGCTTCTGGCGAACCAGAGCAGCGCACGGAAAAGGCGTTTACCTTCCTGCCAAAGCGGTACCTATTTATCTACTTGAACTTTGACGTGCTTTAGAACTGCTAGGTTGGCAGGAGCTGGGGCCAAGCAATGGGAGCTCACCCCGTCACGGGGGTTCGAACCGCCGACCTTCTGATCGGCAAGTCCTAGGCTCTGTGGTTTAACCCACAGCGCCACCCATGTCCCACCCACGTTTATGTCCATGGACGTTGGTTCCAGGTATCTGTAGGTTTACCCAAATACCATTTTGATGGCTTTGTGTGAGCACTGACTGGTAAACTGCCAGAGAAAAAAAGAAAATCATCTCCTGCCTGTTTCTCTCTCTTGCGCACAGAAGTCATTACTCTGTTCTAACAAGAGAGGCTTTGTGGATTTTTTTTCTCTTCAGAATTCCCAAGTTTCATTCCAAGTCCTGTGGCAGCTAATCATGACCGTGGTCGCTGATAAGAAACCATAAATTGTTAGAGCCCCTCATGTCCGATAGGTATATTCCAGTTCTCATTGCCGGGCTCTGCATTCTACACATTATTGTTCACAGATGGGAGCTGTCAGACTCTGTCAGCTCTCTATGCATGCTGAGAGAGTCACATCCGCCGCATTCCTGAAATTTATGGTGGCCTGGGCTTCACCTTGTAGGGTCCTTGCATCAATTACATGTCACATCACTTCGGTCTCACCCTACCCTAAAATACTTTCACCCACTTATGGGCATTCCAGTTAGGAGGGACAAGCCCCGGAGTTATTACAATGTAAATATTTTAATAGACTCAGGGTGGGATGGGGGGGACTATTATAGCTTAAAACTGTCTCATTAATATGTTAAAATTGATAATTAAAAGTTAATGGAATATTTGGGTTTTGTTGGTTTTTTGTTAAAGTTTATTTAACTTCATGGCACAGGGAAGTACAGTGGTACCTCGGGTTACATACGCTTCAGGTTACATACGCTTCAGGTTACAGACTCCGCTAACCCAGAAATAGTACCTCGGGTTAAGAACTTTGCTTCAGGATGAGAACAGAAATCACGTGGTGGCGGTGCGGCAGCAGCGGGAGGCCCCATTAGCTAAAGTGGTGCTTCAGGTTAAGAACGGACCTCCGGAACGAATTAAATTCGTAACCAGAGGTACCACAGTAGATGCATAGCCCTTAAATCAGGCATAGGCAAACTCAGTCCTCCAGATGTTTTGGGACTACAATTCCCATCACCCCGACCACTGGTCCTGTTAGCTAGGGGTGATGGGACTTGTGGTCCCAAAACATCTGGAGGGCCGAGTTTGTCTATGCCTGGCTTAAAACTTTGGCTAGCACTATCTTATGAGACTGCTATGCATTCAGCACTGGTCTCAAATGGAAATCTGCAAGGCAAGAACTGCCTGCCACAGTGGCAATCCCATACCTCCGAACACTATCAAACATCAGGAGAAAACAAGAAGAGCCCATTAAGAGCAGCTAGAAGACCTGTCCAGTCCTGTATTCTGTTTCCACAGTGGTCAATCAGATTTTTGCTTATTTTTTGAATCTCCCTCAGTGGCCCATTGTGTCCAACATCCTGTTCTCACAGTGGCCAAGCGGATGCTCCCCAGGAACTGGTATTCAGAGGCATAGCATGCTGCCTGTGATACTGGAGAGTAATATAATCAATATGACTAGTAGCCTTGTTTGCCATGAATTTGTCACCTTTCAAAGCTGTCCAAGATGGCGGCCACCACTACCTCTTGTGGCGGCAGATTTCATGGTCTAACTGTGTGTAGAAGTTCTTTCTTTTGCTTCATTTCTTCTAGTATTATGAAACAGCACAGTCCCCATGCAATGCATAAAATGTTTATAATACACTGGTACCTTGTTTTACGAACTTAATCTCTTCCGGATGTCCGTTCTTAAACCAAAACCATTCTTAAACTGAGGCACACTTTCCTTAATGAGGCCTCCCACCACCGGTGTCATCCATTTTTCGGATTCCATTCTTCGATCAAGGTAAAGTTCGCAAACCGGGACACTACTTCTGGTTTTGCGGAGTTCATAAACCAAATTGTTCTTAAACAGGACTGTTCTTAAACCGAGGTACCAGTGTAATAATAATTTATAATGTATACCCCACCCATCTGGCTGGGTTTCCCCAGCTACTCTGGGCAGCTCCCATCATCATCATAAAGTGATAAAACATGAAACATAAAAACTTCCCTAAGCAGGGCTGCCTATTGGTCATGCCCCCTTTCCTCACATTATTTTCTAAGCTGCAAGCCTTTATGTAAATGTGCACAGAACTGTCCTCTTAATACAGGCCTAGTTTAAACCATCCTGTCATCAGTTAAGAAAATCCCTTGACTTGGCGGCTTTACCTTACTGTCCAGGTCTCTGGGTACAGTGGTACCTCGGGTTAAGAACTTAATTCGTTCTGGAGGTCCGTCCTTAACCTGAAACTGTTCTTAACCTGAGGCAGCACTTTAGCTAATGGGGTCTCCCGCTGCCACACGATTTCTGTTCTCATCCTGAAGCAAAGTTCTTAACCTGGGGTACTATTTCTGGGTTAGCGGAGTCTGTAACCTGAAGCATCTGTAACCTGAAGCGTCTGTAACCCGAGGTACCACTGTATTTGGAAGAACAGTTTGAGAAGAACCAGATGTCTGTTCATTAGAACTTGGTGTCCTTTGGGGAATCTAGCTGTGCAACAATTTTCCGGTGCTTGTATTGCTTTGAACCTAAGCCTTTGAACCAAGATGGCACCTGTGATGTGAAATGGGATGGAGAGTCTAGGAAGATCATCTCATTGCTCCAGCTCAGCATTACATGTTCTAAGGCTGCAGTGGCTGTGAACTATTGACCATTTCACAACAAGAATGCCATAAATCCATTTTTGGACATGAGGTTTTTTCTTTTTTTAAAATGCCTGGAAGGGAAAGCCTTGAGTTGTATCATTCAGGAAATAGTTCTCTAGAAAGCACCACACCTTGATGCCTTTGCCACCTCTCTGGTGTGGAACAACACATGACTAAACGCAGAATGATTCTTACAAAACTCTGGAGGGACTTTACCAGAGAGTCTGCTGCCACTGTGTGTTAAGCTGTGGTCTTTGTTGTTTCAGCATCGCACACTTAGTTCTATCGGACTTGCTTCTGAGTGAACTATATTTGGGTAACCAACCTTTTCTTCAACATGAACACAGCCTATGCCTTTATCATCTGCATGTTAGGAAGAATTATAACAGGTGCACATTTTTCCAGCTGTGATGGGTAAATATCCACTTGCCTCCATGCAGCTATTAGGAATGTTCAGCCAGATGTGTGTTTGTGCACACACAAAATGTTTCTTGTCAAAGTCAGTTGCCTGTCTGAACTACCCTTGAGGTATGGTTCAACAATATTTGGAATGTGACTACCTTATTGCTTAGAAGGTGTTTTGAAGAGAGATACCTTTGCTGAAACCTGGTCTCCGGGGAAGAAGATAAGATGTCTCTCCCACCAACTACTCAAATTTCTGTATATCAATGTCTTAAGAATATGCTTGAAATGACACTACAAACTCAGTGTAAAGTTTTCTGTGGAGACTGTATTATATAACTAGACTTGTACCCAGTTATTGTCATTAAAAGTTTTATTATTTTGGCAAATAATGATTTTATTGCACACAAAAAGTCAGTTGCCTATCAGTGCCTGTTGTCCTTAATCAATAGCCAGGCCATATCCAAACACAGTGGAAAAGCAGTTTTCTGCTTCTTTTACAGAAGAGTATGACTCATGGCAATAGCCCATGCAACTTCATCTCTTGTCACAATACATTTTCTCGCCACTGCAGTTAACTGCTGAAGATAGGATACTATAAAGATTAGTAGCAAAGGGGGGCTCCTCATGCCTGAGCTTATCCCAAAGCAAACAAATACATTGAAACAGTGGTTTGATAAGGGATATCTTGACTAAATGCAAAAACCTCTTTTCAAACAACAACAACAACTAATCAGAACTGTGGTTAGAAAAATAATAATGCATGGATTTCTTCAAGAGCACAGATAAGCCACCAATCTTTATTTAGCTTTTTCTTGGGCAGCTGCCGTCAAGAGAAAATTCACAACAGCATCTAAAGGTTGAGTCATATTGTGCTGTCATTCAGAAGAACAGATGATTTATATAACAGTCATTAATGATAGGCTAACAATAGCAGCAGCAGCAAACTCTGAAGAATGGTTCTGGGAATGCAATGCCAAGCATTAAAAAGATCAGCTTGTAAACTATCATGAGGTCAACCAAATCTGTGCTTATAGAGCTGTTTCCATTGCTATAGCAGGCACTATTGATGGACAGCAGCAGTCACGAATTAGGGGAGTATGAAAATAAGTGTCCTTAAACTGAGTGCAGGGCCTCATGGGTGGACTCTGGGTCAGGTAGTGCACAGAGTACGGTGTGCATTTTTATTGCGGGATACTGGATTTTCTCCTTCGTGCATCAGCTTTACCTGCATGTAGAAACCTGTTTCCCCACCAGTGGCATAGTGGGAGGGAGGGCACAGGGGTGGTTGCCCGGGGCAAAATTGTTAGGGGACGCAAAATTTCAACACCCGG